GATGATGATGATGATGATGATGATGATGATGATGATGATGATGATGATGATGATGATGCTGGTGGTGGTGGTGGTGGTGGTGGTGGTGGTGGTGGTGGTGATGGTGATGATGATGATGATGATGATATTGATATCATTGATATCATTGATATCATTGATATTGATATTGATATGATATGATGATTATTATCATGATGATGATGTTGAGGAGGAGGAGGAGGTTGCAAGCCTTTTCATCTCTAAAGACGAGTGATGTTCTTGTGAAACTCGATGGCTCTAGACTCTAAACCTAGGACAGGTTAACTAAGAAATATAACTGATATTTGATATTTGATGGATTTAGCTTCGATGGCTGGGATGGAAGAAGGCACTCACTCCTCGCAGTCGGCTTCTCTCTTTTCCTTCTTTTCTTTCCTTTTGCCTTTGGACTTACTTTTCCTGCAAGTCGGACGGAGGGTTCGACACGATGCGGGCGGCGTCACTCCAGCCAATTCCTGGAACACCACACTGAAATGTGCAAGTGGGATGGCTATACTATAGGGCAATGAATCCATGTGTCCTCATTATTCCAACTAATTCCGACCGTCAGACTGGTGCTTGCTGCGGCTTTTGCATGTTTAGACACCTCACAGCCGGAGGTTCTCCACCTTACTATATGCTATGCTTTGGATCCAACATGAAGAGCTGCACTCGACGACTTGGGTTTTGCATGTGGCAAGGGCCGCCTTGGGTTTCGCCCCTCGACTTCGTCTTCGCTCACGGAAGACCCGCAGCGGGAACCACTGGGTGTGGTTCCTGCAGAGGAACATTGCCCACCCCCCCCCAAGAGAAAAGAACTCATGATACGCTCAATATCAGTTCTCTAAGTGGGTAGGGCCAGAAACCACGGCCCAGCCCTAAAATGGGAACAGGGTATGGAAACATGGAGTTCTTCGATCGGGAGAGGATGGGGAGAGGTCTCCCTTCAGTTTTCATCCGCGAGAAAATGCGTTTCAAACGGCGCGAGAAAACGTCCCAGGTGCAGGAGAATGTCAACCCTAAACCCTAACCCCCCCCGGGACCCAGTTCGGGCTTTCCCGAACTTTTGCCGAAGCCTTCGGCCCCAGAAGATTGAGGTTAACCCCAGACACGACCTGTCGATTGGCACATATGCCTACAATTAATTGACCCCTGAACCAACCCCAATGTAGATAAATGTGCCGGCCCCATGGATGGTCTGGGAACACCTTCTGACCAAAGGTGAAGCCGAATGCCGCGGGGTCCGCCCCAGGCCACGCCTGAGCTCCTTAAACCTGGCGAGCATTGTCGGCAGCGCCTGCCCATTGCCTTTGAGCTCCTTGAGCCGGGCATGCGCCTGCCCCGCAGGCGCCTGCGGTGGGAGAGCGGGGGGGGCAGAGCGGATCTGATCTCCAACCCCCAAAATGAACGAGTTTGGACTCCGTCGCCAGTTCAGTATATCGAGTACATTATAGAGAATCTTGCAGCGCTTATTTCCGCAATCATTGACAAAAAAATAGTATAATTTGCGGGAATTGAAGAAACATGCCGCGCTGCATTCCCAGAAACACGCGCGACTTGCTTTTAGCAAGCTTCACAAAAACACACCGCACACTGACACGGGCAAACACGCCGCAAACATTGTCAAACGCTGCATAATATGTTTGTTTTTGTTTCGACTTGAGGTCCAAACCCCGAATTGAGTCAAAATGCCGCAATCCTAGAAACACGCCGCAACCCTAAAATAGTCGCGGCATTTCTTCAAAACCTGGCTTTTCCTGAGCGGAATCAAAATTTTCATGCCAGTGGAGTCTGATATTATATGCTTCCATGTTTGAACACGACCCGTTTCGGCATGAAATCCCGTACGATTCGTTTGGTGTGACCGTGCAAATCCAAAACACTTCTGAATTCCACCCAGACCTCTCGACCTCGTTTCGAAGCCGGAAACACGTCGGTCTTTTGGGCCGCGGGGCAGTCGACGGGTCGGAGATGCACATAATAAATGCCCGGATCAAGATATATTTCAACATCGTCTTCCGTCATTGTTAATTTAGTGACTTTAGAGGCATTCTATGAACGTTTAGCAACATGTTCCTATAAAATGCTAAATTTAGCAAAAAGCGTCAAAGCTATAAAATAAGGTAAGTAGCAATGGAAACAAACAAAACAGCAGGCCTATAAAATGACCATATCAGATTGACCATGAAAAAAAGGATCAATAAATCCACAGTCTATAAAATGCCCATGGAGGGTCCTACAAGTACTGCAAAAAAAAAGAAAGGTGAACAGCAACAGAAATTCAGCAAATATAAAAAAGTCTAACACCTGCCCATGCTTCTAAAATGCCCGCCCAGACCATGTCCCAGTATCAAATCTCAGAAACATCTCCTCTGCCGAGCAAATGCCCCACTCTGAGAGCCTCGAAATCCTTACAAGTCAAAAAATTGGACCTCATACCTCCAAATCCCTCCAAGACACAGCAAGATCCAGTCTGTGTCCCACCCATTTTGCCTTTTTCTAATTGTTGGGTCAGATTTTGGCCATGTATAAAAACACATCGTTATGTTTTTCAAAGGCAAACACCGGTGGGGGATTCAAACCAAACTACCAGGGCCCTTAATTAGGCCACGTGACCTTTGGGGAGTCTCTGAGACAGAGACCTCTTCGGGCCTGAGGAGGCCACCTTCATCCGAGATCGAAGGGCCGAAGTTTCGCTGGTTTTTGGAAAGGAAGAGCTAGCTAGCTAGACCGTCTCTGGACAATTCGGTGCTTGATGAATGCAGACAACAGTCCTTGGCACATGCGAAAGAAAGAAAGAGCTGAAGAGAAGCAGACTCGTCCGCCCGGCGGGGAAACCTTTTGAAATCGCCCCGAATCACCAAGAAGTAGACCTTTGAAATCCTTTGAGGTCCAAAATGGTCCTCAGCTCACCCAACTCAAATGATTCCAAGTGCGGATTTGGTGAAGAAGCTCGAACCGAAGACCTGAGAAGGGTCCGAACATGTCCCATGTCTGCCTCTCCCAGCTCACCAAGCTCCAGCTCTCCACTGAGCTCTAGCTCTGCTTCCTTGGCACGGTGACCCGGTGGCATGTCTGCAACTCGATGACCAGGTCGGCGGCCATGTCTGTCGTGTGGGGGGCTCCTTTGTTCGTCCAAAGGCAGGATAGGACCTACCACCTATACCCTAGGGATCCAAGTACCTTCTCAGAAGGTGATTGGAGACACTGTTATGTAGGCTTGGAGGGTCCAGTCGTACCTTCTGAGAAGGTGATTGGATCCCTAGGGATACACATCCTAAAAGCCTGTATACCTGGTGTGATTCCTGAAGCATCGAAATTGCAAGCAAAAGAGGAGACCTTGGTTCGAACGCAGCACCAGTTTGTTGGGATCAACTTATGAGAAGTCACAAGGGCTCAGCGAGAGTTCTGGGTCTTTCAGGCGAAAGCAGCTGGAATCGTCCAAGGAGATGCACCAACCAACCAACCAACCTGCCTGCCTGCTTGCCTACCTACCTGCCTGCCTCCCTACCCCTACTCTAGATCTAATCTACTCTACCTACTCTACCTGCTCAACTTGCTCAACCTGCCCAACCCAAAGCCAAGAGAGGCCCAACACCACGGCCGTCCCACCGGTGCCAAGGCTCAGCGATACCTAACGACGTCGACTCCGGTCGACCGGTGTCAACCACGGTCAACCCGTCGCAACGGAGGGGAAAAACCAGGTAAGACATGGTCGAAAGCATTCTCAAGGAAGAAAAGCTTTCAAAGCTTTCAATCTATATGTGTTTGAGTTTTGGTGAGTTCCTTCTGGCAAGACTAGTCATTTTTTTCGGCATGATGAGGCCAAGTCCCCCCCGCAATCTTGAAAGCGATTTGCATGAGTTTGCATGTTTGATTCCAAACGTGAGTTCTTCATCCATTTGAAGTGGCTTGCCGGCTTGCTGACACACTACACCATGTTTGAGCACATGGCAACCCACTGTGAAGTACACAGCACACAGCACACCATCTAAAACCGCGTGGCATTTGTCACAAGAATTCCTCATCTGTCATATGTCTTCGCTCTTGGGCCGCTATATACTATGGCCAAACATTCGGACAATGGTTTGGGATCCTTCTTGGAGCCGGAATGCTTCTGAAAAGGAAGGCTTCTCCCAAATTGTTCACCTCTCTTGCACCATGTCGTTCATGTTCAGAAGAGATGCACCCACACCCAAAGCTGACACCAAAATGCTCGACTCGATCCTCATAGAAACAAAAGGTGGGCCCACGAGTTTAGGCTAGAAACGATGTCCAATATACATTGATATGTTATGAGATGTCAAGAGGGTATTTTTAATGACCCCAGGTTTACGATGTCCTGGGACCACCTAATTGATATGACTTATATCATCTTATATCATATGTATTTGGGGATCTTATACACCGAGATGCCATTCAGGTCACCTAGGGAGGTGAGGCTCCCACTCGAGCGCGAGGCCGCGACATCGCCTGGGCAGAGTGGGAGGAAGGCAGGGCAGCCAGGCGGGGGGGTCCAACAGTTTGGTGTGAGACTGGAAGGATTGCGGGGCGAAACGCCAGGATTTGCTCCAAGTGCACCTGTTCTTGCGGCCAGTCGGGGTGCTCTGGAGTGTCCCAATCCGCTTTGGAGAGACCAAGGGCTCTTTGGACCGTCTGGGCGGTTGATCTTTTTGGAGAAAATCGTTGGATTCCAAATCCCAGACCAGAGTTTGTACCAGTGAGTATACCGGAGTGGAAGACTTTGTGGAGAGACTTCTTTGGCTAAGGAGGCTAGGCGGCTAGGCGGTGTACATTTTGGGAATTCCATCCAATTCCTCAGTCGCTAAGCCATGCTAAGCCCCTCTGCTTTGCCTTTGTTTTGCAAAGACGCTGCAGTACGCCCCATGTGAACCTCAGCACCAAGCACCGCGCGAAGAACGCGAGCGCCACCGCGCAACCCGCGCGCCGCCGTCGGTTGCGTCGCGTCGCGGCGCGCCAAAAGCGCCTCGCGGGGAGCCTCCTGTGGTTCTCAGCACCTTTGAGGACGTCCTGAAGGGACGCGGCGGAGGGCTCGGCGGAGCTGGGCTGGTTTGAAACACGCATGTGGCTGTGAGGAGATGGCGGGAGGATTGGGAGATCATGGTCCATGGTTTATTCGCATGTCCAGTGATCTTTGTTGCGATATCCTCTTGTTTGTGGAGATGGTGGGTATGGTGGGGTGATCTTCAAGCCAGCCGAGAGCTCTGCAGTGTGGGCAGAGCGGGCATGAGATTCTCAGCCTGAGTTTGAGTGGTGCTGAGCAGGTGGGTGGCTGCTGTAGGCCCAGCGCAATGGTGATAGTCGTATTTACTGGAGTACAGTGTACAGTGGTTTCAAAGAAAGATTCCACAATTCCCCCAAAAAAAGGGTGGTTTATATAGTACCCCCATCTAAAAGACATCTTTGCGTTTGCGCCATCTTCTCTGAAACCACTGTAGTGGGAGAGCCAAGTCGACTACGGCCGAGTTGTGTGTCTTCTGACTTGGGAATATGATGATCATGAGAACCCCAACACTCCATGGGACTGGGATATATGCCGACATCATTGACCCCAAAATTCACCCATCCCAAGGTAAATAGGCCATATTTTAGACCATATATGGAGTATCTGGGATTTGAGAACCATGATGGACCGTGCACGTACTGTATCTGGTCTTTCAGCAGAGATTGACCGAGAAGGTGAGTGGAAAATCCAAGACCAAACCGAGCTTGACAAGAGAAAAATTACCAGCGAATCGCTGGCCAGGTGTCTGTTTCTTGGGGGAGGTCTTCGGTCTTCAGACCAGATCTAGAGGGTGTCAGATACAAATGGTGTGATGACTTAAATCATTGGGTGGTGAGGTGGTGAAAATCCATGTGGTGGAAACCATGTGAAAAGAACGAAGCACATCACGTCCCCTCAGCACATCGTGCTTCCAAGCCGTCTCAGCACATCGTGCTTCCAACGCTCCGACGATCGACGTGGTCCATCGAAGCACACCGATGGAGGCTTTCCCCCTGCCTCAAAGGCTCGCTCTCCTCCGTCTCAGCACGACCTGGAAGGGTTTGAAGATGGATCTGAGATTGTGAGGTGTTTGGCGATTTTTTTCGATTTACGAAGTGGTGATTAATCCGTGTCAGATCATTGCAAGGAAAGAACAGTATTTGGCCATGTCAGGTCAGGTCCCCAACAAAACTTGAGTCCCAATCACTTGCAGAGTCCAAGGTGCATGCTTCCTTTGAGAGACAGGCTGCCTGAGTAGGTGGGTAGGTGGGAACCTGAAGTTGATCTCCAGAATCTTTCATCTCAGGAGCAACTCCTTTTGGCTGATGTGTTGGACTGTGTATGGTTTGGAGGCTGACATTCTCTGTTTCCACCCTCGACATGTTTCCAGCAAACGTATCCGAGAATCACTGGGCCTTCCCTGGCCTGCCCTCGTGACACATCAGGCTTGCTACACCTCTATCAAAACTCCAGCAACACAAAGAGTATTTTAAACAAATAGAAAACATTAGGAAACCCTTATATTTGTTCGGTCAAAACCATAGAAAGCCATAATGAAAGCCCTTTATAAGGCTCCCATTCCTCCTTTTTCACATCAAAAGGCAAAGGCTCAGCTCCGCCAAACCGAAACCGGACCTCCAGTTCGGGGCGCACCCCCGGGCTCCACTGGGCGCCCCGAACGGAGCTGCAAGGGCTCTAAGCTTCGACTTCCAAAGCCCAGGGAGGAGACCTTCGGACGGAGCGAAGAGTCGTCATGGTACGCAGCACTGGAGTGTGTCTGGGTGCCCGGAGGTTGGAGACCGGAGCCTTGTAGGATGGTTCATTTTGGTGACCCCTTCCTTGGATGATCCTGGTACGTGATAAGGGTATCCAACATGGTCTAAACTGGCCGACAGGGATGACCTCCCCCCCTGTATGAAGAATGCATGGAACTTGGGGAGCGAGGAATCCTCGCCCCCCTGGCTGGGTAGACTGGTCTATCTTCCAAGGGATCAAACTGGAAGGTCGAGACCTATTTTAAGCCTAGGGCCTCACCCCTCCCTCCACCTGAAGGTGCTTGGCCATCCAAAACCGCACTGGGTCGGACCCCACAGCCAACCGAATCCCGTCCCAACAGTCGACCCAGCAGTGTGGGGTGGATGACCCAGCAGAATAGACCACTACGGAGGTCACCTACCAGTGTTAAGAGCCAGATCCACCTCAGGATCCCTCTCCCAGCTCGCTCTCCCAGTGGCAGTGCCGCGGCTGGCGATCGTCAGCGACGGGCAGGTGGTGGCAATGCTGGTGGCCGACGTGGCGCGGCCCAGCTCCAGCCTCGCGGTCGCTCCCGCGGTCGCATCGCGACGGGGACGTGGCGGGGTGGTGGTCGATTCATTCGGTGGCGCTTGGGAGTTTGGAAGTGGGTGGCGCTTCCTTCGAAAGGGTTCATCGAATGGGTGTGTAATGGTGTGTAAGTTGTGTGCCACGTGTACTGGTGGATTGTTGAGGATTCTTGGAGGCCTGAACGAACAGGATGCAGAGGTGAACAAACATCAAGTCAACCCAGGATCACCAATTCCATACTGCTTTCCTGAAGCATTGGAGTTTGATGTGGAGTAGCCTCATGGGATGGTGGTGAAATGCTGAAAGTTTCAACCAGCTTAATTTGCATCCCTTGCAACTCAAAAGATGATTTGACGATTCCTTAACATGGAGAGGCAAAATTTGCTTTTAGAAGATTCAAAGCCGTACGAACTGTTGTGCAAGCTGTGCTGGTTGCAGTGTCCACTACTCCTCTTCACAAAAAAGAGAGGCAGTTAGGCGTTTTCACGCACTCATCAAGCAACAAAGGCTTTTTCAAGGCTCAAACACATCCATCCAATGTGTATATGGTGTGTATTCGGGGTCTCGACCTCCCTGGCGCCCCGTCGTTTCCACCTTCCAGGAGTTTGGACGGTCTCCCTGTGTCAATACACACCCGTATATATGGCAATCACACCGTTTGGGCCAAGTGACAAGCCGTTCTCTAAGCCACCAGAGCGGTGTCCTGGTGAGAAGCACCGGTTGTTCAGTGGAAGATTGGTGTTCTTTGGAAGCACTCGCCTCCAACCTAATGTAGACTCTTGACTAATAAACCCTCCCATATTTGACTACATTAGAAGCGATGGCCTCCAACCAACGGAGCGATGGCCTTCAAAACACGATTTCGCCACAGGAACAACCATTCGCCACAGAAGACTCCAGCACCACAGTGGTGATGTTCCGGAGATATGTTCCGACATGTATCCCATTCGCGTGGTTTGGATGTTGTTCAGAGCTGCAATCGATCTCGGTTTGTGGACATGGATCGGTCTGCCCTTCGGCCAGCCCACCGGGCGCCGTTTCATCGTGCGCTCCCATCCGAGAAACCATCCAAAACCAGCGCCTGAACGTTTATGGGTGCTCTGAAGGCCTGACTGAAAGCCCCTCATAGGTGGTGGAGAGCACAAGGAACCCTGTGAGGGTAGACATGATCCTTGAATTGAAGGACTCATGCTGTAGCTCTTCCCGTCCGCCACCCGCCACCCCAAACCATTGGGCGTGTTCGGTGTCTTCCATGCTCTTCGACAACAAAAACATCAATCCCATTCAATCCCTCTTTGTTTTGAAGTAATGTGGACTTTTGATGAATAAACCCTCCATTTGAAGAGGATTTCCAATTACAATGAGGGGGGGTTATTAATCAAGAGTCTACATTAAGCTTCCATGCCATTCCATGACCCTTTTTGGAACTCAACTCTAGTTCCATCATGTTCCATCAAAGTTCCACAATCAAGCTTCACCCTCACCCCACTCCCTGTCTTCTACATGACACCCCACTCGCTCCCACATGTCTTCACCGCCCAAACTGACTGGTGCGACGCTTTAGGGAAGGAGGAAGGAGGCCTGGCTGGAAACAGGGCGCTCGAAAAACCGGAGCACTCCAGAACTCCCCCGACCTTTTTCCCACCACGAACCTCCTCGAAAAACGCGACCTTCGTCCGTCCAAGTCCGCCAAGCGCGCCTAAGCGCGCCCGCCCGTGGTCCGCCGTGCCTCGCCCGGTGGTCTTCCTTCGGTCTGCGGAGCGCAGGAACTCCCGCGCCTCCTGCGGAGCGAGGACCCGGACCTCTTCGGCGTCCGAACGGCGCACGGGATGGAGGAACCGGGCGACTTCGGGGGCACCCCGCGGGTCGGTCTGGAACGGCCCGGAACGGCCCGGAACGCGGAGGCGGTGCCCCGCAGCGTGCGAACCGGCGCCGCCTCTTTTCTGTTCCGGACGCGTCGCGACGCGTCGCCGAGCTTCGAAGCGAGGTCGGTCGATCCGGATCCTCAGGATCCGACCGAGCTCGACCAGCAGCGAGGAGAAGCTGCATGACGTAGACGACCAGCGGAAGCGAGAGGTTTTTGCGGGGCTGTTAGCGGGAACTTTGTTCCTTGGATGGTCAGTGGGCGGTCAAGTGCTGCAGATCAAGATGTTGTCCAAATGCGGCGCCCTGTGATCACAATTAGAGGTTGCCAAAGTGTGCATCTCGATCGGGTTCTTCCTCGTATGCTATGTCCAGGAAGCCCGCCCAGCGACGCTCATGTGCCGTGAAACCGGCATTGGCACAATCAATCGCAGAGAAGCCTGCCTCCCTGCAGTCTCGGGCATTGAAGCCAGCAGTCTTCCAATCAAGGGCTGAGGAAAAAATGCGTTTCAGTTCTCTCACTGGGTAGCCTGCACTTCTGCAGTCACACACCGTGAAGCCAGCGGCCTTGCACTCTTGAGCTGAAAATCCACCAATCTCTTTGCATTGTGTGGCAGTGAAGTTTGCATCTTTGCACTTTCCGGTCATGTGTCCTGGATGGCTTTCTCAATCGAAGACATGAGAATCAATGTCAAAGTCTATGTTTCATTTGCCAAGTTCCACAAGATGCGGTCCTATTCTAGATGTCTGATTGTTAGTGAAGTTCTTTCTCCCTGGTTCTTGAAAGTGACCTTTTGATAACCTGGTTTGAGGTCACTTAAGTCTCCTAAGGGTCACTTAGGAACCTTCAAAAGGTCACTTTGAAGAAGCTTTAAGCACCCCCACATGCAGCTTTTCTTATGAAGTGCTCACGCTCGAAGACAAAGCACCTCTCCTCGCTCCAAAAGCTCTTGGGCATTCACGCCCTTCTGCAAGTAGCGCCCCACCAGCAGGAGCCGCACCCGTTCTGCCACCTCGGAATGGGTCACATCCTCCAGCCACCGCGTGCGCAAGGCCCGAATCGGCTGAAAGATGTTGGCCTCGCGGCGGGGAACAATAGCTGGGAGACTCCATGATGGGACTGGCATATTGTTACATCAATATTACATCCATTGACCCCTGAAAAATAACATGTACATACATGCACTGTTTTTTCCACGTGCATGTCTTGCTTTCCGTTTCAGGCTTCGTTGATCTCGGACTATTTGGAAGAAAATCCCAAATGAATCCAGCCTGTGAGTGGACATCCAACCAGCGTGTTGCGTCTTGTTGCTTTGTTGCTTGATTTCATGCCTTCATCGCATGGACTCGGCATCTGAACCCCCCTTTTGTGCCACCTTTTTCTTCGTGGAGCTCGATGTTTGACGGGGGGAGTAGCTACATGTAGCTACCATCCTCCCCCTCTTCCCCCCTCGTCTCCCGGTCCCCGGATCCTCCAACGAACCAGGACCGAACCGACCGCGCGCGTGTGTTGGCACGGCAAGGAGACATCTCGTTTGGTTCAGCGGGGGCCCAGGAGCCTCGATCCTCGGGGTTCCCGTCTCCCCCAAACAAGATGGATCTTAAGCTCGTTTGGTCGGGTTTTGGGGTCAGACCATGAAGCGAAAACTCCATTGAAGGGGCGTGGGCCGATCTTGGTCGTCCGTTTTTTTCCACACCCACAAGGGCGCTTGGTGGCGTCGACGGGTCAGCGTTTGAGTTCAGAAACTACAAGGGTCCTTCATGGTCCTTCTAATAGGGGGTGGTGAATGGACACCAACTTCACTTTCTTTTTTGGGGGGGCGAATCTTCGACACCCTCAGTCTGGTGCCATACTTCTACCAACTCAGACCACCCAAGAGCAGCTCACACCGCGGCCTCCGTCACTTGGAAATGCTGCAAGACGAGCATCGATGGGTGGCTGAGGACGTCTTGCAGTACGTCTGGCAGCCTGTCTGCACGGATCACCTGGTAGTTGTGGAAGAATGCACCTCCCCCCTCCCCTCATCATCCTTTCTGGATCTTTCTGGGCCAGAAACCCTGGGATCTAAAACCATAAAAGAAAACCACATCTTGCCAAGCACTGAGCACCAGATCACCTCATCAGCCGCCTCCTCCACTTGCGCGGCCACCGCTTTGAGCTCATTTGACTCCACAAGGGCATCCAGCTTCTTCCTACAGTAAATGCAACCACCAACGAACGAACCAACCACGAGCACATCAACATACGCACAGCACGGCACGGACATTCACCGCACCCAAAACGTTCGGCTCTTTAGGGCCGAACGAGAGCCGCAAAGACAGCGAGCCCATGGCCCATCGCCAAACAGAACTGCTCCTCTCAAAAAGAACACCTGAAGTTCCATGGTTTCCGGTCCTCATATGACCTGAGTGGAGTAACTTCACTACCCTGACTTCACTTACCCTCCGATCAGTTCGGCACCCGGGGTTCTGCTACTGCTGGAAGTTTCTGCTACTTGCTGATGAAGCTTCTGAACAGCCCCTTGGTGCTGCTTCAAAATGGCGCGCCGAAAGAAGGGGATGGAGATTCCCTTGGAGATGCTCACAATGGCCGAGAACCCTGTGAGACCAAAGGCATGAAAACCTGAATATCTCATCAGCAGCACCACAGCAATGCTCCCTTGTGGGCAGTCTTCAGCCCAGGCAATCAATAAACGAGAACTACTCCTCGAGTTCGAACGGAAGATCGAGCGGAAGGGTGGAAGTGTGGAAGGGTGGAGAATGGTGGAATGGTGTATTTTTGGTTCGACATGTTCTTGGAGATTCATTCTCCCAGAAAATGTTTGTGGCCTTCGTAGATTGCCTGATTTATCTCTCAAAGCTCTGGCTTTCTACCGCAAACTCCTAAGAAACCTAAACTCCTAAGGCCACTAGGAATTCCTAAGATTTGGCCTGCACTTGGGAAATCACCATACTAAAAAACTCTACCACCCGCAAAACTCCAGGAAAAGAAACTTCCAACTCACCGTATGTTTCAGAACAAAAAAAAAAGTTGTAGAAAAGTCAGTACTGTCCAAACGGTGGAATCACCTCAAGTGAAAGAGTGGATTGACTGGGTGTGTTTTTCCTCCAAAACGAAAGAATGACGGAAAAGCACAAAATCTAGTCTAGATGTGTTTGGGAAAGAATGAATCTAGTATACAGTTGTGCTGTGTGTTAACAATGAATTTGTTGAAAATCTTTTCTTCCACACGATCTTAACGAACATCACGATGAGCAAGTCTTTTTCGGCCATGTCTCAGGAAATACAAGCACTGGTTCCGGGCATGTCTTTTGATCCAAGCACACCAGGTTTCGTTTGATCCAAGCGTGGCAGGCTTGAGAGGCAGTTCTAGAATTGGCCAATAGGTCTTTTGTAGATCTCTCTTGCAGTCGTCGTCCATGGTGGTGTGGATGTGCGAGTAGAGTATCACATAGATGGAGCAAACGGCCAAAAGCCCACCATCAGTGAGGTGTAGCCACACTGCTTCTGAAAAGCGAATGCATGTTTCATTGAATTCCAAAAAGAAGGCGACGACCACCAGCGCAATTAACGACACGGCCCACCAAGCGTCAATGTCGCCGCAACAAAGAGAAACCACCATGTACGGAACAATCACGGAGAGGTTCAGTTGTGTGGCAATCAGCACAGCAAAGGTCACCTGGCCCGTCCCAACTCAAGACAACGAACGCCCAGAACGAGGGCAAAGGAGACTCTAAAGTAGATGGAACATGCATCGAACATACTGGTTTGGAACCATGTGTTGTTTTTTTCTATATATAATATGGAAGTCAAATCTAGATCACACAGCTAAAGTAATTGTAACACCATGGTGTGCCTGCAGAACCAAGAGTGGAGGGCTGATATGCAAGCTGTCAGAAATGCGACACCACCGTGGGTAAAAGCCGGCTCCCAATGCAACCACTTCCAGTGCAACAATGCCCGCTCCAATCATGAAGCCTGTCTGCCCTTGGGCATGTAGAAAGCAAATGCCTGTGATGACCCAATCCTTCATGGTGTCACATGGCTCAGTAATGAGAGGCATAGTGAACTGAAGCACAGTCAAAAAAAGTCGAGGATTGCAAGGCATAGGCGTCCTGTTGACACATGGGCGGGTGCCTACAACGTGTCTCCTGACGACTCAACTGCGGGTGCCGTGCCTAACCAACCAAACTATGTGATTCGCCGGTCGAAATCACTCTAAACCTGTATTTCTTCCAAGGAGCCAACAGAACACATCGGATGAGATTCTGGGTAAAGAGCATCCACAAGCACAGTTGCTGCCACAAAGCCCAGAGCTCCCAAGCAAAATCTCCTCCGCGCTTGGTCGTGATCCAACCATTCATCAAACCAACGGCCACCATGCTCACACATATGACATGGTACCTGAGAAGCCACACCGATTCATCAGTCTCTCAAACCAAGATTCATCTGAATTTGCATAACCAAAATACACTCACTGGAACTAACATGGAAGTGGACAATGGCCTCTTGGAAGACCACTTTCCTTTACAAACAGGGTGTTTTCCCCTTCCATGTTAGTTGCTGAAGACAAATCGAAGACGTTGTGTAATCTAAGTTCATGCATACGCTCGAGTCACAGTTTTCCTTCCTTGCAACCAAGGATTTCGTCCGGCCAGACCGTGGACGAGGTACGAAATGATACCCACCGTGGAAGAGATTCGAGCACAAGACCCGCTCATCACCAAAGCATCCGCCTCGTCTTGCCAAGACGCTTAGGATTTGATGAAGAACGACGATCAATGTGTGGAAAATGAATCACACCCCCCCTTGACAAATCACCCGTTCCACTCAAATTGGCTAATGACGTTTGGCGGTTCGAGTGAACAAGGTTAAACATCGAAAGATCGAGCACTTCTGGGCGTTGGGTGTGCGTCCAGCCACACCCCTCTTTTGTCCCACTCCAATCCTCCATGTTGATGTCCGTCGTACGCCTGTCTCCGTGGACCAGCAGCGAACCCTTTGAGTCCGTTGTGCGAGACGTGCGTGGCGAAGGACACTCGGAGTCGCTCTCTTCGCTGTCCAGCAACATGTAAAGGCCTCAAGGCGACAGTAGTCGGGTCCAGTCGGGTCCAGTCCAGTCGAGTGCACGCCCCCAAAACGTTACACGAAGAAATCCGGAGTTGATGTTTTAAACTCTAAAAGGATAGGGCTTGAGGACTCTCTGGCAATCTCCATCGTCTGTGCTTTTGGCCAGGTCTGAAGACAGTGGCTTTGGGTATTTCAGGAGGTCTATACGTTGGAGAATGAGAAAACAAGCGGTTTTTTCAAGGAGATTGCCTACTGCAGCGCAAACGTATTTACTTAACTGCACTTTCAAGACAGGCTCCTGAAAAGGACCTCTGAGAGAGAAGTGCATTTTCTGGATATTTCACTGTACAGTTAGGCTGCTGACAGTCACGACTAGCGTGCTGCTGAGGGATGGCAGGGGAGGGGTTGTTAATGTTCTGTCGATTGTATTGGACCATGATTTAAATCGAAATAATGATGGCAGAAACGCCGAAACAAACCTATTATACGTTAGTCAGTTTGTCTTGGCTAAATAGTTTCTAACTATCCAAACACAAAAGAAGCACCCACAAGCACCCACTAACAGCAAGTCTGCATCCTTTCGTTTCTCATTCCGTTGGCATCTTGTGAAGCAGCCTGGCTTGACCAATGAGAAAAACTCTGCACTTTGAAGAACCGACAAAGCTAATCTGGGTAAAACTGGCGCGACCGGGTGGTGTGGGATCACTGGCCGAAACGGCACAAAATGCCGTGCTGTGGCCCAGAAGTTGGTGTGAGCTAGCCGCACCAGCAGGATGGATTCGGCTAGGCTAGGCTCCAACAACCAGGTTATACCTTCCATACAATACCTTCCAAAGGCACTGGTCAACGCAGATAGGACTAATTTTGTTGAAACCCACTGGTCAAAGCAAGTCTGATATTTAATGCTGGACCTTGTTGGACTATATTGCCTTCACTTCACTCGTTCCAACGGGGCGAAACACTCGCGCCGCGCGTGTCTCTGTCACCAAGGCGCCTCGTCCTTTCGCCCAGGCGAAGCCAAGGCGCAGCACCTCGCAGGTGAGCGCCATGAGAACGGGCGACAGCCTGAGAATCGAACAGACTCGAGGCGTTGAACGAGCGAAGACACGTGTCGGTGGAGGTTGGGTTGGAAGGCGAAGAGACGGACATTGAGAAGAAAGACGACATTGGGGATATGGCTGACACCGCACAAAAGGCCAAACCAGTACAGTAAAGATGTTCCAGCATGTGAATTCGGTGCTACGTTTATTCACGTTTATTCAGTAAACACTCCAAAAACTGGTTTAAAAAAACTGGTTCTACACTCGATGGAAAGTGTTGTGTTTCACTCTGCTGAACTCGGCCCAACCGTTCCGTGTTCCACCCGGCCGGTTCGAGCCACCGGGGCGACGGAAGGGACTTCAAAATCCCGGACCATCCATGGGACGAAAGAATCATTTACCCACCCTTGGCTTCCAACAACCATTCATTTAATAAGCTGAATCCCGAATCAACTAAGGATTTTACACTATAAAATCCAGGTCAACCATTCTTTTAATGGTCTTGGAAGTTTAGGGCCTACCCAGACACTCCATGGGACTGCCCTATATGCCGCCCCATTGACCCCTTTTCAACCAACCCAATGTATGCAAATATGCCAGTCCCATGGGTCGCGTCAGGGCTACATGGATTTCGATGGATTTCGAGTGGAAGACTTACACCTTAAATATCACCTCAACTGATTGGTTCTTGTTCGTCCAGTTCCTGGATTGGCCATGCGTCAATTGAGTGCTGGGTCAACTGACCTGTCTGACACTCCTGACCTGTCTGACACTGACCGATCTCACCTGAGTCTAAGTGACAAAAAACATCCATCACCTCCCAATTAAATGCAACTCATGGGCGCCCAACAATTATGTTGACACTATGTTGACACTCCAATTTCCAAGCTGCTGACCATGGGTTCTGGATTGGCAAATGGATGCAAATGGTAAGTGAGATTGGTTGAGGGTCCCCGAAATGGTGTGGGTTTCAATTTCCTAAGAAATAGGCTTTGCAGGTGATATCAAGATGAAGCTTCTCAGGGATGGGTGGATGATGCTGGTTAATGGTTAGTAAAGGCCTTGCTCAAAAATAATGATAATCGCTTGCTGACTGTTACAGGTAATAGGACACACCCAATGTAGTTAAGAATCCTAAATTTATCCATCTAGGTCTAGGACCTTCTAAGTCTAGCCCACACATCTGGGTGTGGCCAGAAACCCTGGTATGGATCGTTCCGCGCTGCAGCGAGAGTGATCCAAACCCTATGGATCAGAGCGCTGATCCAAGCCCTATGGATCAAACCGACAAGTCACTGATCCAAGCCCCCGATATAAACACATCTGCATGGTGGCGCTCCACCCCACCACTTTCTCACCAGTTCACTGTGAAGGTGGTGGCTTCCACGATCAAGGCCATCCTGTTCGTGGCAAGCCTGTTTTGAAGTACTGGCCGCCGCTAAATTCATTGGGCTCCACTGTCCACATATTGGGCCATGGTTGGGTAGAGTGGGTGGCAATGGGCGCTGGTTCACTTTTGGGCTAACAAGAGGCCTTGCGGATTGAAGTTTTCGGGGTCCACTAACCTCATTTCTCCAACCCTTGTTTTGGCTCAAGAAGACGATACAAGAAGCCCAAAGTCCACAAGTCATCCAGAAGCTCACACAGCTCAGTCGTCAGGGCGCTTAGCAATCATCATGGCCTTTACAACTCTGCGTAGGCTCAAGCTCTGGTCTGTTTTCGTGTTACTGGACGCCACTAAGGCCATTAGCCACGCAAATTGGTGATTCAGTGGGCTCTCAAGTCATTTAATAGGTGGTGGCTTGACAGCTCTCTGGACTGGAGGCTCACTCCGAACACTGGTTAGTGGCTGCCGCTAATTCTGTTTGTCCTTCCACTATCTTGTCTTCTGGCACCTTCTTTAATATGGTAAGGTTGGGTTGGCTCCTCCACTCAGAGGCGAGAATGGGAAGTCCACCCTTTTTCAACTTTGAATTTGCAGTTGAATCTAGTGGCTTCCGCTAAATCTGTGGTGGTGGTAATAGTAGTGATAGTAGTGAGTAGCAGTAGCAGCAGTAGTGGAGCTGTTGTAGTAGTAGCAGTGGTGGTAGCAACTGTAGTGGCAGTAGCAGTGTAGGAGTGGTGGCAGTAACAACTGTAGTAGCAGCAGAGGTAGTAGTAGTAGTAGTAGTAGTAGTAGTAGTTGTTGTTGTTGTTGTTGTTGTTGTTGTGGCAGTGGTGGCACTAGTAGTTGTGTGATCCAAGGGCTTGGATCACACACCCACCTTTTGATCCATACCCTATGGATCGAGGTATGGATCGTATGTGGGTTTGAGTGTGTGATCCAAGCCTTATGTTCCTGGCCGTAGCCATATATCACAAGTCGTGGGGGACAATCCTGCATCTTGTTGGCGTTGGTCACCACAAACCCTGCCGGTTCATCATCGAGATCTTCCACCACCCACCGACCACGGACCGTCACTGCGTCTACCACCACCGACCGTAGACACGAGATCCTGGGGTCCTTGGACATCAGAAGGTGGTTGGACCCCCCCTGGCACCCAGTCCCAACGGGCCCCAGTCCCACCGAACCGAAACGGAGGTGGGACAGGAGCCCAAACGGGATTTAAGAATAGACCGGTCGGTCTCCGCAATGCCTTCACCACCACGGAACGAGGGGTGGCGCCTTGACCTAATGGACACGCCTTACTGTAATATCCTCACCTCTTATTTCGGGGCGTGGCGTTTTTAAGGAACACACGGAACTTGTGGTGCTGGTGTTTGGGCGTGGCGTTTTCAGTTGAAAGAGAGGAATTCTGCTCAGGAACAAGAGGATGGCGCCCCAGTAGTGCAACCGCGAGGATGCCTCCTCCGCTTCAATGTCTGCGAGCTTCGGCAGAAACCGCGGCGGTGGCTCCGCCAACCAGTGCTTCGGAAAGCGTTCCAGGCGACATGTGATGTTGACGTCGCAGTCACTCCTCAATTGGGGACACGTTGTTTTGAGATCGTTTGGAAATGAAACCGGCAGAAAAAAACATTGACCCCCAAAACCACCCCAACTGATCGGCAGTCCTGTGGCAGTCCCAAACAGGTCAGGTCTGGGCATTGAAATCGACTCTTCAAGCGGGGATCTATGGCACCCAAACCCCCACAAGGCAGGACAGCAGGTCACCACTCGGATCGCTGCGGGTGATTCGGTCCATCGAGTGGATGAAAACGAGATGAACATCAACGAGATCGTGGGTTCGATTGGGACTTGGACTCCCCCTTC